CCCCAAAACCCCAAAACCCCAAAACCCCAAAACCCCGTTCAAATTTTACCAGATTGAACTAAGGTGAACAGATATTCACTATTTTAAGAAGATTCGTCATTTCTACTCCTTTTTAAACTTTTAGAATGCTAAAATGTTATGTGACAGAAGAGTTAATCAATTAAATTTGTATTCAGAAAAATCAAAATTAAAAGGCTGATAACTCTTAATTATCTGAAGAAGATTTGGATTCTCAAGCAGAATCTGGCAATCCTGAATCCTCTGATTCTTGATGGAAATTTAGGAAAGCTGGGTTCTGACTGAGATTAATCTTTGCTTGGATGGAGTCTTCATCATCAGATTTGTAGTCTTGTTTGATCTCTTTTCCTAAAATTTCCTTTGCTAGCTTCTCTGGAGAAATATTATCAGATTCCATATAGGAGTTTTTAATGTTTCCATGAGCACTTTCGAACTTAAGTTTATTCATCTCCACCTGGTTTGCTATTTTTGTGTCGTTTTCGGTTTTCATAATACTTCTCTCCTTCTTTTTAATAAGGGCGTAGGTCGGACGTACCTTCTCGAAAGATGGAGAGAGGAGGTCTTGAGTGCCAATCTTGTCTTTCCTGACTCTGAACTTATTAGATTTAACTCCCCAGAGGTGGAACACATCCATCTCTTTTCTATGTTTTATCTTGTCAACATATTGCAGGAATCTGGCAATTTGAATTGGTTTTACATTGGTGCCTACATCGTCAAGGATTTTCTCAATCTCTGCACTGATTTTAAACATTTCCTTCTTAATCTTAAGGAACTTTGAGAGATTGTTCGAGAACTTATCTTTGAATTTCAGAATTTTAGCTCTTTGCTTCTTTAGAAGCTTAATCTCATCTGAATTGAGGCCCATGGCATAAATGACTTCTTTCCAGACATGATTTTCTGGATCTTGGCACTTTTGAGCGTAATCGACATATTTACCTCTCTGGGTTTTGGCCTCAAGATTCTTGGCTAGTTTCCTGCCCCTTGCCTTCTCAAAATATCCGTTTTCGTTAGCTCAGCTTGCGACAATGTATTTTACATGACCGGGGACAATCTTTTCAATTACTTTCTTCAGTAGGTAATTGACTGTTTGCTTCCGAACAAAACCTTGACTACTCTGACGTATCTTTATTGTATTAATGCATTTATTTATCTCGCTTTCTTTGATGGGCGACTTCTCGTGGTTCTCAATGATGGCATCAAGGTTGTCATACTCGTCATATTTCCCAGTTAAGTATTGGAGTATACTTTCCTTCTGAGATAGAGCCTCTAGCTTTTCGTGCTGTTCATAGAATTGAAGCTTCCTTTTTAAACAGTGAACCTCATTTTCTAGAGTGTCAACTCTTCGTTCAAGTTGCTCAACATATTCTTTTCTTCTCTTTCTACACTGGGAGGCGGATCTTCTGTTAAGTTCTTTCTTTTTCTCAACAGATAGGTCCGTGGATTTCTTAGACTTTTGGTAGTCTTTATCATCATCTTCCTTTATCCTAGCCCTCTTAGTTACTCTGGCTGTGAATGTTGTGGGCTTCGATAAGCTAGTGTCTTTGTGTAGATCTGCAGTGCACTTTTCTTCACTGGATAAATGTTCTCGTAAAGGGGCTCCAAAGTTCGATTGGATGTCCTCCTCTAGATTAATGCTGTCAAGGTTATTGACAGGTATGTTATCTAAGAACATCTTGTTCTCGAATACATTTTCTGGACTGTGAATAATCTCTTTGTAGCTAGACTCAAACTCGTAATCTATCTGGGGTTGAGAGTGGTCAGGCTGATTGATATCAGGATGATTGTTGATCGAAGCATCATCAAATTTCATTAAGAAATCATTGTTCTTAGTAAGAGACTCTTCCATTTGATAACTATAAATTATTATTACTATTTCTATTTGCAATGACGGCATAGGGGTTTTGGGGTTTTGGGGTTTTGGGGTTTTGGGGTTTTGGGG